TTTTAAAAAATCGGAATGTTATAAAACAAACCTGTACAGAAGTTGGAATTCCAAACAAAATTTGTTTCCACGTCTAATAGATCGAGGAAAACCTTTAGACCAATCTTTCACACGCTTTTCAACATATTACACTCCAAAGCTATTCATTAACTATCGATTACGTAGAATTCTTAGATCCAAAATTGAAATTCACAAGCAGCGAGAACTTGTAAAACAAAAACCAAAGAAATTTTCTCCAGAAAAGCAAACAATCGCAATTAATTCAGAATTTTATGAACGACTTCTATCAGGAACTATTTCTGTAAAGTCAAATATTTGTGAGTTGCGGAAAGACTCGAGCATCGTATTGGTAGATAATACAGTTCTGGAAAATATTGATATAGTTATATATGCTACAGGATATGATACGGACTTTGCATTTTTTGATAAAAATTCTGTTCGTATTGGTCGGAATAGAATCAATCAAAATGAAGACAATTACCAAAGGAATGATTTTACATGGCTTTATAAAATGATGTTTCCTCCTCATTGTCCAAATATTGCTTTTTTGGGCATGGTTGATGCTATGGGATCTCATAATATGACATGGTAATAAGCAAGTATTATTTTGATTTACGTCTATTATAAATTTATACTAAAATCGAATGCAAATAAAAAGTGAATTACAAGCAAGATATATATGTGCGCTGATAACCGGAAAAATCTCTCCATTACCAACATCCGAAGAAATGGAAAACGCACTTGAATCTCAAACAGACTGTTCTCGCAGAGGAATGGTAACTAACAACAGCGATGACAACTTTGAAAAAAAACTTTCAAATAAAGCTGATTGGTGGCGATACAATGATGGTCTAGCCAAAGAAATTGGATGCTATCCTAAACTATCTAAGATCTTATTAAAATTTGGGTTTCGTACGTGGAAACAAATTTTGTTTGGAATTCCAACTTCTGTACAGGTTTGTTTTATAACATTCCGATTTTTTAAAATTCGATTTATTTATCTGACTTTCAATATCGATATTGTGATTGTAGTATCGATTATGCGGATCGGATGCCTGGAGTGATGCATTAGAATGGATGAATGTTCACAATAGCTAAAATGATTATTTCAAATAGTCTTTATTTACTTAATTAATATTTTATTTATACTTGTTCCTAATATAATAGCGTTTTGAAATAGAATCAAGTTGTTCTAAAGGCTTTTTATATTAATATTTATAAGTACTCAATAGGTTTTTAAATAAAAATAAAAATATATTTAAAAGAAGATATATAATAAAAATTTTATCAAATATCCTTATAATTTCTTAATCATGTAGCTAAGATCAAAGAAGTTATTGTGTTTTAAGTTATAAAAATAAGTACT